TCTATATCAAATATGCATCTGAACTATCTATCAAATACCCTGAACCTCAATCAACCTACCTCTCTTCCAGCGTTGGCTTGCCAGGAGCAGGAGGAGAAGAACCAGGTGGTGGTCAAGGCCGGGTTCGCAAGCGGGTCTGACAGGAGGGGACCCATATGTGTCTTTGATTGGCGTTTGTTTTGGTCGGTTGTGAAGGGACACCAAAAGGACATCCGCCTGTTCTTTTGGGACCGCCCCCCCCCCCATTTTAGACATACCCATATGTCATGCGGCCAAGGGGCCGAAGTCTGGCGAAAAGTGCGCGCGCGCGTGTGGAGTTTGGTTGCGCGTTTCGGGCTATGCAGAAAGCTTTAGGGGCGGGATTCATTTAGAGAGTCGGCACAGCGACGTTTTGAGTTTGAGAGTTTCTGGTGCGGCATAGAGCCCCTAGGCTCACCTAGAGGCGTCTGCTTTTGCGCAAGCCTCCAGCTCACGACTCCGTGAGTTGAAGGCTAGATGGCCCGGCGTTTGGGGGCTTTGGGGGCTTTGGGGCGGTCCAATCGAATTGGACAATGGCTCCCTTGGATGGTCTTCCTTTTGAGGAAGCCAAGCTTGGATGACTTTAGGATGGGTCCATTTTGTGGTTTGGGAGCTCCCTTGGGTTGAACTGCTTCGGTCATTGTTTTGCAACTTCCTATAAATAGAAAACTTGTCCAAGGACCCCCCCCCACAAACGGTGGGCGTGTCGTTTTTTGAGGGTGCCCCATGTTTGGTGATTTTACCGGACAACTTAGAGGAACAAGATGGGCGGGGGGTCCCCTAAAGTAGGCCCCCGCCCATGTCAGTCTTTCGGGAGGGGCGTGCTTGGGGTGGTGGTGGTGGTGGTGGTGGTGGTGGTGGTGGTGGTGGTGGTGGTGGTGGTGGTGGTGGTGGTGGTGGTGGTGGTGGTGGTGGTGGTGGTGGTGGTGGTGGTGGTGGTGGTGGTGGTGGTGGTGGTGGTGGTGGTGGTGGTGGTGGTGGTGGTGGTGGTGGTGGTGGTGGTGGTGGTGGTGGTGGTGGTGGTGGTGGTGGTGGTGGTGGTGGTGGTGGTGGTGGTGGTGGTGGTGGTGGTGGTGGTGGTGGTGGTGGTGGTGGTGGTGGTGGTGGCGTGTTTGGGTACTTGTCGCTTCACAGTGCATGGGCAAAAATTGGGCCGGGACTTTTTTTTGTTGGCCGCAATTTGTGTGAGGTTAGGATACCCACCACCTTTTCACCTTTTTCACCCCCTTCAAGGGGGACGGGTCCTGAACAGCGGGAGCACCCCTTGTTTTCCCGTTTTGGACGCCGAGGAGAACGCAGAGTTGGCCAAATCCATCATGCACCTCAAGCAGAAGAACCAGGCTCAGCGATGCCCACTCCCCACAAAAAAGAAGGGAAGCATAAGCCAATGGCTGAACACTAGGTTGAAACAGTCAGTGGGATTGCAGGGAGCAAGGTTAGGCTCAAACTCATAAAAGTGCCGTCAATGATTGAGATGTTTGCAGTCTGAAACAAGGCTCCTTTGAATCCTTTGAAGTGTCGGCTTCCATTTTCACAAGGAACCCTCCAGGGCGTGGAACCTCGCCGCCCCGACGGCTTTGCTTGGAGTTTGGGGGGTGTGGATTTGGATTTGAGCGGCAGCGGTTCCGTGTGAAGAAGGGAGCCTCTTCCCTTCAAGTCAGTTGCCTGAAGTGCCCCAGTTGGTCCGTTGGGTTGGGCGCCAGCTCAGCCAGGGTCCGCAACTGACTCAACGGAATTTCTCACGGCGATGAGTCTATGGCTTGAAATCGCAAGAGGTTGAAGAGGGCTCCCGCTATCATCGAATCAGCCCTGAACTTTTGATGCACCTCACGATTTCATCCTGGAAAAGAGGGAGGATATGCCGCCAATCATCCTAGCTCTGCCGCTTTGCGAAAAGCAAACCAGATGGGACTTCGTGTTGCTCCGATTTTCCTGCAACGCCCTAATTTCACCCCTGAAAAAGAGGCACGTAGGAGCCTAATCTCGCGGCCCTTTTTTCATCCTTAGAAAAAGCCATCTTCCGCCAGCTCTTCCAATGGAAAAACCCACACCACGCAAGCATCACCCAAAAACCCCATGAAAAAGCCTGAAGCAGCACCACGCCCTCGTCTCCTGACTCCCTGTACCCCCGGCCAGGCGGTGTTTGCCGAGTCCCAGGGCCTCCAGAAGGCGCCGATGCGATGCAATGCGATCGAAGGGACGGATCGATGCAGCGGGACGTCGCTCGACGTGTCGCTCGACGTGTCGCTCGACGTGTCGCTCGACGTGTCGCTCGACGTGTCGCTCGACGTGTCGCTCGACGTGTCGCTCGACGTGTCGCTCGACGTGTCGCTCGACGTGTCGCTCGACGTGTCGCTCGACGTGTCGCTCGACGTGTCGCTCGACGTGTCGCTCGACGTGTCGCTCGACGTGTCGCTCGACGTGTCGCTCGACGTGTCGCAAGACGTGTCGCTCGACGTGTCGCTCGACGTGTCGCAAGACGTGTCGCACGTGTCGCTCGACGTGTCGCTCGACGTGTCGCTCGACGTGTCGCTCGACCTGTCGCTCGACGTGTCGCTCGACGTGTCGCTCGACGTGTCGCTCGACGTGTCGCAAGACGTGTCGCTCGACGTGTCGCTCGACGTGTCGCAAGACGTGTCGCAAGACGTGTCGCTCGACGTGTCGCTCGACGTGTCGCTCGACGTGTCGCTCGAC